CCCCCCCCCCCAAATGAATCCAATTTTCCCATTAGTCGGTAATCCGTGTAAAACCTCAATTTACCTTCAGCTTTGTTCAATCGTTTCCCCCAAGATCGTGGGCAACAACTAGCGATCTCCGTAATTTTAAGAACTGGTCAATCGAGGTAATTGCAAACGAACGGTCGTAAATTAAATTATTAACCGTAGAAATCGAATCGCGAAGTATTATTTTCATAGAGGAATGCCAAAGTACCAGAATATTAAATAATTGCGTTCAAAGTGTAATAAAAGGAAAATAGAGAAGATTTTATAAATCGGCGACTAATTCTCCATGCAATATTTGAAATCCTCGTTGTTATGTAGAAATTAATAACTATGATTTTCGGGTTAATTCAGAAACACGTAAAATTGCGATGAATAAATGAATAATTCGAGCCTCGAAGCCTTCGATGAAGCGCAGGAGGCAAGCGCAGCGAATCAATTACAAATACCGGTCTTGTTCGCTTGGCTTGTGCATATACGTGTGTGTGTGTGTGTGTGTGTGTTTAAATACTTGCTTTCGCAGCTCGGAAATTTCGTGCTCCCGCGTGCACGCGTGCAGTCGTTCTAAGCAATTTCGCGATCGCGTTGCAGGGGTAGCAAATAGTAATTCCCCGATAGTGCGCAACACGGTAAAACTAAGTTCACAGGAATTTGTCAAGGGATAAATAGTTTATATAAACTGAAGTTCGTATAATTGGAGTCCACTGATTCTCCCCTCGCTGAACCGGCTCACGTTCGAATAAGTGGATTCAACAAGCAAGAGTTCGTGTTACGCGTTCAAATTCAGCCGGGATAAATGGAGTTCCACTTCCATCGTCCAGGTTCCGTTTCGTAAAAACGTCGATTTGCATAGACATTCACGGTGCAAGACCCCGTTCGGTCACTTCTCGTCGACAGAATAGTTTATAATATAACATATACGAACAGCTTCTCTTACACTGGCAAGCCTCGCCATCAATGAATATCGTTTCAATCTTGTCCTGCTTTGAATAACTCGTTACGAGTCGCCTGTCGCTGGTACAGCGAACAAATCCTTGAGAGAATTAATTAAGTAAACGAATTATTCACACAGCAATAAAGTATATAGTGTTTGTTTAGACACTCTCTAAACTTGTCGTGTTAGTTTTAATCTGGAATCTACGTAAGTTTCGTGTCTAATTTGACGAATCGCAAGCATATCCCGGATTTTAGAAGAAAAAGGATCCGACGATCCATTCGAAGATGATATTTGAAAAAAGAAAAGAGAGGGAGAGATAGTTCTTCCATCTCTTCAATCAGTTCAAGTTACGTCAGGAACGATTCTCCTGCTATATCCAGGTGGCCTGGTTTTCGCGAAACACCCTGTACATCGTAATGACTGAACTGTTCCATCAGACTAGACCGTAAGAGTAACAGTGACACGTACTGAATCGGCTTCTGAATTCTCCGCGCGCCAGCAAACGTATATCGATCTCAGCTAAAGCTCTCTGATTAAAAATATCCATTCTCAAAAGCGAGTTGCGCTCATCGGAACGATATTTATCGCAATCATCACAACCGCCTATATAATCATTCGTCGTTCGTAACATTTCCATGGATATTTCCACTCGCTTCTTCTCTCCGCGATTCTGTTGCGGAGTAACGACGATCGCCTCCCAGCGATTTTGCAATGCTCGCCACCCCCCGCCCCACTCCCTCCTCAGTTGTCGCATCCGCAATCCACCTCGTTGTCGCTGGATATAACGTTTTTATACTGCGGAAACGAGCAAGTTGAAAGAAGCTGGCACTTTGAGCATCGACGAAACTTTTATCTGGCTGACGTACAACTCTCTCTCTCTCTCTCTCTCTCTCTCTCTCTAGTCGTGTGTATATGGCAGCGGCGAGTTTCCTGTATTTATGGCGCACAATAATGCGGATGCACAGGGATGCGAACTTTCTAGTGGATACAGACGCGCACGTGCACGTGTGTATACGTGTGTATGTGTGTGTAGAAGAAACCGGAGAACTGCGGAACCAGGGGAATCCGAATGAAACTGGAATCTCCCTTGTTTTCCATGGGCGCACAATGCTACCCTAAACTGCCGGTGGAGTTATCCGCGGAATTATCTATGCGGTGAAAGAACCAAGAGCAATTTCACGCGCGCAACACGGCGATCTGTTCGTCTCTTCGATGAGGTAGCGGTTATTGTCTCACAGAAAGATGCGAAAGAAATGAAATTCCCTGCCGAAAGGAAGGAAGAAGCGTCAGCTTGCGCGTCAAATTTCTCTTAATATTCGAACGAACTATCGTCTCACGTTTTTAACAAATTAATCACGCGTCGTTTGGTTGAAATACGTATTACGGAAGAATGGCGACAGGCCAAGTTTATCTAATTTTCGATTTCATTCCCAATGTTATCCTCCTTTGATCTTAATTTCAATTCGATTTACTTCCTTTGTCTTTTCCCCTTCAGATATTATCTTGCCTCAAGAAATTTGTTATTCACGTCCCATTCCGTTTGTCAATTTTAACTTGCAATTTTCGAAGCCCTGCGATTAACAGGCTGAATCCAAAACTAAACGCTACGTGATGCATGACCCAGTAATTGTGGCTCGAAATTATCACGTGATGAATTCAACGTCGATCCAGGATCGTTGCTGGCTCGCTAGATGGAGGGGGGGGGGGGGAAGGGGGGAGGAGTTCTGCCGCTCTGCCTCGTGTCACCTCGATAAAAGTTTCACCGATGCTCGAAGTATTGGTAGAATACGATAGAAGGACTTGAAGACACGCGCGGAAAACCCGTCTCGGTGTTACTCTACTTTATGGGAGTTAGGATAAGTGCGAAGGAAAGTTCCACGCTGTGTGTCTGCAATGCGACTCGAAGGATATCCTCTCTCTCGGTTATACGTCAGTGTTTCTCTGCAAGTTGCAATTTTTTTCTTACGCCAGTGAGAAAGGTTTGCATTTGCCTTTACGTTGTCGGCCTATGCAGACAGACAACACCATGGATGTTACAGTTCCATACGTTGCGTTAATGACTCGTTAGTGCTTCGACTGTTATCATAATTTCATATCTAACTGTAAAACGAGAGAAATGCGAAATTAAATTTGGGAGTATAGTTACAATTCGTAGATTGTTATAATATAATTGTAATATATTATTATAATATTAAATTGCCATTTATATATTCTATATTATATTTATATTAATATACTGATCGTGTAATTAATCAAATATAATTCTGTATATTATATTATTCAGCTGCTCGACTGTGCCATAATTACATATCTCATTGTGAAACGAGAGATATATGGAATGAAATTCGAAATTAAAGGTGGGAGCATAGACACAATTCGTAGATTATCAATATTATTAAATATATGTGATATAATAAAATTATTATCCCATTGTAATATTATAATTACATTGTTAATCGAATTACTACGATATTGATATTACTCCATCCCTTTCTGCAATTTATAAAATTATTACACTATCATAGAAACATCTGTAGGGGAAACTTGTGAAAATTCTCTACCACTTTCTCTGCCCGAGCTGACTTTCGAAACGTCATTATCATGTGCGCGAAGAGGCGCAGTTTCGCGCGAACTCCGGCCAATTTACAAATTACGTAATAACTGTGCCGTTTCTGCACGAGGGAGCAAACGGAGAACGCGAGAGCCGAGACTACAGAACGTAATAACAGGAGGGGAATTATTTCTGGTTTGCAGACGACGTGCCTAACAGAACTGCCAGACGTGGCACCGTGCAACGGCACAGTGCGACTGCCACCGCCGTGCGAGGATTCGCCAAGCAGCGGCAGCAGCAAAGACCGCAGGGAAGAGAGTCCTCGCAGAAGATGCCGGGTGTTGGCGCCCATCTTGCTCCTGGTGGCGGCTCTGCTTCTTGGTGGGCTTTGTCTACCATTGCTTCTACAATCCGCGCCTGTCACGCATCAGCAGAGGCTGGACGTGATCAGGAGGATCCTCACTGAAGTGCCTCTGATCGACGGGTAAGCTCGCAACTCCAACACCTTTACTACACGCGCGAAAGTCTTCCCATCGTAATTTATTTCACTTCGAACAACACTCTTGGACTCCCTTGCACGATCGGAGCCAACGTTACTAGCGAAATTTTTCAACTCGCCATCCACGATAATTAAACACGAATTGAATGCCACATGACTGACTCTCGAGATGTCAATATGAATAGATATTGTCCGCAACATTTCTCCAATTTCGCTTGTTCTTTACGAATATAGTGAAATCGAGGTTGTCGCATTCCTTCACGTGCACAAGAGAAAACTGTGCAATGAAATAAGAAAAATGGCAGGAAAACCCAGGCTCGGGCGACGATTTTGTGAAAAGAACGTTATGAAAAAGATTCAAAGTAATTAAAAGTGCATTAATGCGATATGTCACAATATTCACGCATACATGTTCTAAATAAAATTATATTAGCTAACATTGAAAAATTTACAAGTATCGACATTCACTCGAATTATGTGTTTCCACTGACCCTGGCATTCAAAGTGAAAAAGTTGCAAATTTTACAAATTTCAAGTCAGCCGATTATCCTGTCTGAAAGGGAAGTTGTCGCGAGTCAACAGTAACCATGTCCCATTCAGAGGACGCAAAATTGCAAAATTCTTCGCGACCGTCAGTTTGTCAATTACTTGACAGCGCAAGAGAAATCGATAATCCACGTCGAGAGAAAGATGTAGCAATACGTAGTTTGTAACTAACTAGCCGGCGAGGCGCACTCTGTACCAAGTAGTTCTTCACCGAGCCGTTTTCCACGGCTTTTGTTCCGCAGGCACAACGATTTGCCCTGGAACGTCAGAAAGTTCGTACACAATCAACTGGGCGAGGTCAATCTGAGCAGCGATCTCGGCAGGGTTGATCCTTGGGCCAGATCCGACTGGAGTCACACGGACATTCCTAGATTACGTGCTGGTCTCGTCGGTGCACAGGTGAGCGTGAAAAATAACAGAAAATCCCGGATCCTACTCTTTTGTTTCTTTTTCCTTTTCCCCTCCCATCAATCGAATTACAATTTCAACTTCGCGGTGGATCCCCGCGCTGTGGTTAATCACTTCAATCCAACTTGACGTTGTTGTTCCGCGTTTTGAGCTGGAACTTTGCCGTTGATCGCGCCCGGGGCACCTTTTGACCAACTGTCTTTGATCTGTTACCGCCTAAAGAGGCTTTCCGTGCAAATATTATTGTAGCTCGGCTCCATTGTTTTAAAGCGAATCTGCACGGTGCATCCCTCCGTGTTACGCCGGATGAACAACGCTCAACGCGTGGATGATTTTCGTTTCTCTCCATGTAAATGATAAAATGAAATCTAACGAGAGGAAGTTTCATAATTTCAATAAGCGCCAAAGTTCGGATGGGACGAAATCTCTGTTCGTAATCCCGTTTCTTAGTTTCTTCCCGTGAAAATGTAAATTCGCGTGAAAGAAGAAAAAGGATTTAACGTCCAAAATTTAATTTAACAATAGTATGTACAAATTATTGTTTAACAGTCTGACATAAGTTAGTATTCGAGAGATGAATTCTCTGTCTAAACAATTTCAGTTTCTACTCGTTTTTTTGACCGATACGCAAAAACGAGTTTCTTTTTTTTTTTCTTCTTTTTGTTTTAATGCGAAACGATGTAAACTCCGATATGCGAAATACAACGGACGAAATTAGAGAGCCATTCGAGCCGAGTTTCCTATTTAAAACGAGATTTTCACTCCGGGGCTATTTTTAAATTTCACCGGGCAAATCGAGCTCGATTCGTTTTCACCGCCGCAGAACAGACTGCCAAACAATTTTCGAGCAAAAATACAAACGTTGCGTCTGTATCTTACCTCCGAGAGTTAACCACCGTGTAAAACCACGATAATTCGAGAATGAGTCGTTAACAGCGAATTTTTTTCATATCACCTTAACTTTGAACTTGAATTATTCAATATTTTGAATTCGCTAGATACCTTTATTTTATTTCATAATAATTTCAATGACCCAAGTGTTACAGGAAAAGCTTCCACTAAAATTATTTGCTGTTTATCACATTGCTTCATTTTATTATTATTCTTTTTTTTTTTAACCAATTTCCTAGTAATTTCTTCAACCGTCCTTTTCTTCTTCCGTGCCATGTTCTTTGAAAGCTTGAAATCAATTGCCTTTTAGGCAAATTCACTTTTTCGAGTAACAAGAATCAGGATTTTAGAGATGCTTAGGTGTGGCATTGCCATGTCAAAAAAAAAAAAGAAAGAAAAAGTTTGGAAAAAAGAAAAACTTTTTACCACTGGTCCAACAGATGA